ACATGTACCTAACTTCCACGTGTTTGTACTCCACATGCGCTCACAATTTCAAAAAACCTAAGTATGATATTGTGGGCACGTATAGAGTGCAAACGGGCGCAGGTTAGGTAGAGTAGCCTACCTGAACAGCACGTTTTATTCATGTTACGTTATTTGTTGTATTATTCATGACCGTACCCGGCTTGCACCCGGACAACGTCTCCCTGTTGCTACTCTCTCTATAATAATGCAGCTCGGCATGGTGCAACAGTGCCCTCACGAGACCAAGGCCGTTTTCCAATACTCAACTTCGTCTCCGTCTCAGGCTTCGTTCCAAAAACCAATCCCCGATTGTGGGCCTGAAGCGTTTAGATTACATTGGATTACTGTAATTTTTGGCTTTCTTGAGTCTTATTTGATGTTCTGTGGCACTATTAGACTGATTACTGCGCTCTACAGCTTCAAAGTCAGGTAGTAAAAAAACAGTTGAAGCCGGAGACGGAGCCGAAGTCGAGTATTAGAAAACGGCCCAGGACGTATGAACTGAGCCAAGTTGGGTGAGGTAATGAGTAGACCATATTCGCGGGGTCAGTCATATTCATGAACGTATTGTATACATTTGAAACCCTTAATGGGATGGTATCAGGTGATTTGGGAAGTCGGTACGAAATCGTAGAACAGAGTCTGGTTCTTTAAATATAACGTTTTCAAATAAATACACTACGTTGGGGAATTTGACTGGTCCCCGCGAATACGGCCTGTTCGAGAAAGAAAACATGGTGATCGCTACGAGATCTGATTTGTTGGAATACTTTCTGCCTTAAATCCGTCTGAATATACTTTCTGCGTTAAATCCATCTGAATATACTTTCTGCCTTAAATCCATCTGAATATACTTTCTTTTCCTTAAATCCACTGGGAATATACTTTCTGCCTTAAATCCATCTGAATATACTTTCTGCCTTAAATCCGTCTGCATATACTTTCTGCCTGAAATCCGTCTGAATATACTCTCTGCCTTAAATCCGCCTTAATACAACAAACATAGTGTCTACATCTGATTATTCCTTTCAGACATGGAGTACTGACAAAAGGGTACATTTTGTTATTTACCATAAAACAGTCGATTCATTGGAGCATTTCACAAAGCCGCGACCGCTGTGGATTGGACTGTCCTCAAAAGATGAACCATACCGCATTATTAAATGGTGGTATCACTGTGACAATATGGGTGCAGAGCAAAGTGAGCTCTCTGGCAAATGTTCAGGGTAAATGGAAATGGCCAAAATATGGGGACAGCTTCACAAAGCGTTGAGTAGACACAATTGAGCCTGATCGAGTTTCGACCAGAGACACAAGAACAGGTGACTATGTTCCAACATTTAGCGTTCAGTAGAAATTGATTTTCTGTTGACAGAGGCAGTTTTTATCCTGTTGAAAAGAACCAAAATTTTTGTAGTATGTACGGTGTCATATTGCATTGATACTGAATTACAACAAATAAGGAACTCCACAGCGACTTGTTACTCAGCTAACTGCGCTGTAAGTAGTTTTTATATCTGGCCTTTGTGATCAGGGAAACGCAATATGCTGAAGTATTTGCATAGAGCTGTAATCGTTTTAATAATTTATTCCAGAAGCTGTCTCGCGGCGGCATCCAAATCACTACGCCTTAGCTTGAAATTACACACGACTCTATCTATGGGAACTGGCTGCGACCACTGCAATAGACTGGTGCGTAGCTTCAGACTACAGCCAGCCTGGTAATTCAGACATGGCCTAGGTAGTCTTGATACACACATTGCATAGAGCAAAGAGTTGAGAGGGAGCGTAACTGTATGGACCACACCTATTAGACAGCAGGTGCACAACTCCAAAATTGGCCTATTGCATTTTATAGTTATTGATAAAACGATCGCTGCCGGTACTAGTAAATCACCCCCCCCCGGGAGACGCGTTAGTCTATAGACACCTTCGGCAGTTTCTTTTTAGAAGGGTGGGGGGTATTTTCAGTACGCTGCGAAATTGTGTAGGTTTTACGCTTATATAGTTGCGTAATATTCCATCATTGCACCCTCCTGACGCTTGACAGGAGTTTGCATGCGACTTTGTGGTGGTGCAGCGACGAAGAAAGTCGAAACCGTACGGAAAAGTGACCGAGTTTTCAGATTTGATTATATTTCTCAAACGATTTCATTGGCTTTTTTATGTTGAACTGACGACAACAGCGATAACACACTTCTACAACAGCAAAACACCAATAGCAACAACAAAGACGGAACAGCAGTCACAAGAGTGACACAATAAATGGCGATTGGAGAATAACAACTATATAAGGAAGTCTGCAGCAGTAACGGCAAATTACTGTTGGTGGTGGAGTCACGTCTTTCCCTCCGCACCTTGCCTTGAATCCTAAACTCCAAATAGATCAAACCCTAAGACAAAGACTGACAATTCTTGATGAACAGAGACAGTAAATCAAAAACACTGACCATGCCTTTAACCATTCTCATCATTCGCCATGCCATTCCTTCAAAATCAAGAGCACATAATCACTTAAACTTCAAGCTATCGTCTGCCTAAAACCATACACCACAGCGACTTTCCCCACAGAAGTTCTGTTCGCTATACAACAGTGAAAAAACTTAGTCATATCGACCAATCAGCAATCGCAATGCTCCGTAAATTATGAGAGGTGTCAGTGACTCAGTATTTTACGGTGATCTTACCCGCAGCGTATGGTTGGTGCAGTTCATACCCAGTCACAGTTTACTGTAGTGGTCCAGCCCTGCCTTCAACTATCAGGGGGTGATTCGTCCACCGGTGAAGGTATACCCAGCAAGAAATGAGACCGATGGGTACCCCCAACATGTCCAATCCCTATACACATTCCAGACTATTGTTACTTAACACATCCCCCCAAGATGTCTGAAAGGAATTCCCCAGATTCCTGCGAGACAATGACCAACACAAAGCAGGGGGGGGGTTCTCTCCGTCTTGCTGCATATGGGTGAAGGAGGAGGATGAAGGGAGACTTAACATGCCGAAATAACGACCCCAGACTTCTCGTCTTTACAAGTATTCGTGCATCTATTTATTCCATCACAAAGATCACACCAGCTGACCAGTCCCAAAGTAGCAGTGGAAAGGACAGGTTGCGCCCCAGTCGAAAATCCCAAATGACGAAAAGTTACAAGTATAAAAGAAACCCTGTACAATTGAAAGAATAACGGACGTCTTTAGTCATGTAAAGGCTATTGCCATCAAGTACATGTACAGACATGTAACGTTATACAGGCAGCTTCAAGTGTTTGGTAGATCGTACCGATACATAAAGTTTTCCGGAAAGTTACCACTAATTCCTTTTAAACTAAACCCACCTTGACTGTTCAGGGATAATCTATTTAAGTGTGGGTTCCCACCCAAGCTGGAAACTCTCGGTTTTCCGGGGTTTTAGCATCAAAACTTGTTGGCTTGTTTGAAGGCTCAGCAGAAGACGTCAGCCATGATCTTCAGAATGCAAAACAAAAGACTCCGCGTGCGGGTTTCAGCGCGTAGGCCACGATGACGTCACCTTCATAAATTATGTTAATTTAATATGCCCCGGATCTCCACATTACCATACTCAACTATTTAAGATTACAGCCCCTTTTCTGGATATTTTGAATTCAAATAAGCGCCTTCGACGCTGGCTTTGCAATAGTCTATTTGAAGTTGTGACCTTATTCTTGTTTACCTACAATATTAATTGAAAAAGAATCCGCATGCACACGTTTTTGTGCTTCGTTTAGGTATACATTTTGAAAATAGATCCATCATTCTGTCATTGCTGTTATTCTGTGAGTTTTATGCTAGTTTGGAGGCTGGGTTGGTAAATTCAAGTTCCTACGTTTCTTCACCCCGTTTCCTCAATCTCTCAGGCTTCATTCAGTGTATTTTTAATGAATCCAGACTTGAGTTGTGGAAAATTTGGATAAACGTGCTTCATGTAGGCCCTAGTCCCCTTTAAAGTCATACTTCATCAGTTTACGCTTTTGCCTTTTCTCTGTTTAATCTATCAAATGCTAGTAATAGAGGTTCTGCGTGGCAGCCATTTTGCCGGCAAGAGCTTTTGTTCCACATGGATACACACGAGTAGACCTTTTGTACTATATACCCCTCCGCTCCAAAAGCAGTTATCGGAAAGATGGCTGCCATGCAGAACTTCTATAAGTGCCAGGTGAATTTTCACCTTCTTTGAAATATTTCTGTTACTCTCACAGCTTCCAAGAGAACTTATTTGTATTAAATGGACCCGAAAGCAAACGTGTTATTTTTATTCACTAAAGCTAACGAATTTTGTATTGAGCTATTTGGTGAATTTATGTTTACAATTTTATTCACAGGTGAGGCCAGAGCAGCGTGGAGTGAATATGCAAACAATTAATATATCATTAATGTATCATCACCAGAATAAAGTCCTGTTTCACTAATTAGTATTTACAGCCTGGTTCCCTGACACACATAACACCAAAGCAACAAAAAAGGTGTAAAATCAAAGTTCGCCACATTCTGTACTTTGCAGAAGAATATTCTGAAAACCCACTAACTTAGACGGCATCTGTGTTCAAATTATGCGAGGAAAAAAGCACTTTTCTAATTATTAGATGGAATATCATAATAAAGCACACATTCGATGTCCAAACTAGTGTATTTTCATGAGCCAGTCATGCATTGTTCCTTTGAAGAAAAGGTCAGCCGCGATAATCACTTGACAACTTTTTCAGAGAACGTTGCGTCGTTCGTACTTTATCCACTTTTAGTGTAAGATAAGATGTGAGAATGATAATAGGCCTAACAGTGAAAGACAACAGTTTGACGCAAGACGCTACACATGTGGACGACACGTTGTTGAGAAGCATAGCCGCAGTATTAAGAGAGCCGCCCTGTTTGTATCAAGGATTGTCCTATCTCTATAAAGTCGAAAGAGGGAGATTTGCGAGTCTGTCAAGCAGTGCAAGGCACAATAGTTCTGGTTGATCTTGACAACCAGCCGACTGCATGGTGACAAGAGTTAACACTTTCATACCATTTGCATTCCTCCTTGTTTGATCAGACTATCCGTATGGCTGAAAATGTTCGCAACTAATCGACGCATTCTTGGCAGTTGCAGACAATATCCACGCCTTGGAACTTATCTGGGTCATCGCAGCGGGTCGCATCACTGAGTTGACAGATTTTCTGTCCTTGGTCGTTGTACTTGATGTTGAAGGAGCGACACGCAGGCTCCATGATGCAGGCCGAGGAACAGCTGGGGTTGCTCTTGTTAACAAACTCCTTGATGATATGATCGAGAAGGCAGAAGTTGTTCACAAGCTGTCCGTTGGTGTTTGTAGCGAGAGCAGTAGCGACTGATAAGAGGTGGTCGGTAACCACAGGTAGATGGACCACGGCGATCGACACAAAGCTTTCGGCGGACGCACATGGCCACATTCGGGTCGTCGCAAAGATGGTCATCCAAGACGCCACCACGTCTGGCGAGTGATACAGCACAATTCTGGTTGTCATCTTCTCTTGGTAAGCCAGTCCGCCCGTGGAGGTATGGCTCTCCCTTTCCTTGCTCTTCGCACACCCATGTCTTTTCGACGTCCTGGTCGGTACAGCCAACCCAGAATATCTTTAAGCCCGCTCTCTGGCCAATCACTTTCATGAACTCCTTTTCCTCGGCCGACAAGGGAACGGCCATCTTGGCCCCCATCCCCCAGCATGCCGAGCGGGATTCATGCCAGCTGGCATTCGACAGGGTAAGGCGATAACAAGAGCCATGAGCAAAGTGCCACCCTAACGGGGCACGAGTCGACGGAGCGGATCGCCAGGACCACCACAAACAACGCAACACCAATGTCGAACATTTCGATTTCACTCGTCTTTTCGTCACAGAAACAATCGGTCAAAATCACCGTGTAGTTCAAGCTCGGCTGTACTGTAAACACAAACCACAAACGCATGTGAAATGACGCCAGAGTAGGAACACCGACCTTTTTTCGTGAACTCTGGCAAATGCAAAGATGACGGTATAATCAAACTTTCTTGCAATAATACTGCTTGTAGTTGCAGTGCTAAACCGTGTGGTTGTGTGGGGATGAGACTGTGGCTCAGTGTAGGATCATTATAAGGACTGAATTTCCAACTTACCCCAACCAGAGGTGTATGCAAAACGTTCGTGTCTAGCAGGATTTGCAATTAAGGGATTACAGGGTAGAAAGAAGCACTCGATAGCGATGAAGTGTAAATGACAGCTTCATTTCCACGTAATCAGCATGTTTGAGATTACAAAAATTGAAACGTTTCTGGCTGATTGATGATTTGACGCAGTCATGTGATATATGCAGTCTATCCTGAAGATGAAAACGGAAAGGCCACACCAAGATGTGTCATTGAAAAAGAATAAAAATAGACGCGGAGGATGAACAAACTGGGATTTTTTACGAGACCGTCCAAACTTTTTATACAGCATACAGAATGTTACCCGAATGAAGGTGTTAGATCTGTTTAGAAATACGAGTGCATGCAACCCCTCCCCCAAGGGGCATTAAGTATAGGCCCGTACGAATGGAAAAGACCAGACCTTTTCGTTAACCACCAAATTTTGATAGCAATGCATTTATTTGGGTTCAAAATATCTCTGAAAATTTCAACAAAATTATGTTAAATAAGTGAAAATAAAAAAAGCCACCGTACGTGCACAAACGTCTGGATCGGCATGTACAAACTTAAATATATATATATATCTAACAAGCGCAAAAAATAAATATTTTGACCTTTTTTCGAATTATGAATGTTCCAGGATACACGCAAAGTAATTGAGGCTTGCGATAAACAAGATAACATATACTGTCATACTCCGTATGTGAATTCCCGTCACACGACATGGTCCTTGTACGCTATTGATGATGGTGGTCGTTGTGGCATTGACAAACGTCACTGAATATCACATCTTCACGTTGCGAAAAGTTAAGTTTAATCAAGCCTCTTTTAAATCCGCGCCATCATCGATGATCACGGCGTGACATTTTCTCACTTTCTTTCAAATTGGCGATGGATGCTGTGAGAATGACATTCTAGGAGCAACTGCATTTTTTGTGATGCATGCACATGTACTTTGCATCAACAGCTCAAATGTCACAAGAAAAGCCTATTCTAAGTATTCTTACTTTTACATGTTTAGCAACATTACCTCACCTGTCGTCAAATGTTGTAGAAGACTTTCCCATACTATTCTTGTCGCGTTTTCTGAAAACATGAGGAGGGTTCCTGAGAATGTAAAGGAATATTATTTCAGTAAATTGACTGTTGCAGGCTTGGTACCTAAGCCCTCTCACTTTTCAGGAGGTGACTGTGTCTTGGTGTGAATTGGCCAAATCACCAAAACTTGACGAGAAATGGAGATGAATTTTTTGGTAATTTACACTATTTTCAGTTTGGCTTGAAGTGGTGTTGCGCACCCGTATCAGCGTCTCGCAGAAACACTCAGTGGCGTAAATCTGTGCTGGAAAGGGGGGGGGCATGGGTTGCCTGGCCACAGAAATGTGGCGGGGGGAGGGGCTACACCATTCACATCATATAGGGGGCAATGTTCATGACAAAGATGTACATCTCTAATGTGTGTAAATGTATGCAGAATCTTACATCAGAATGACATATTTGTGGCTTTATAAATTTGTTTTCCATTTTTAGTGATATTGCAATCATTTTAGTCGTTCGGAAATCCTAAAAGTTCTTTACAATTCTTTGCTCATAACAAAAAGCTGGGGATGATTCAATAAGCCCATCATCCCACCTCCAAAAGTGCGCATGGGGGGAAACATACCCCTATCCCGGGATTTACGCCCATGCACCTTATCATGTGGTTGAAAAGAGCCACGTTGGTTGGGAGTACGTGGATTCATTTTGTTGGTAGCGATGCAACCGCAACGCTTGCGTTTCGAAATCGTTCGTGAACCAGCGATGCACTAGCGCTGTTAGTACCAAAGGAGCCCCCGTTGCTAAGGAAATAGCGCCCTCTCTTGGTTCACCTCAAGGCCCATTAAGACGGATGACTCTGATATCGGTACATAAAGAGGGCGCCAGACTGCCGCAACATAGATGGGTGCAGACCACTATTAAAATTCAAGTGAGAGTTTCTGGCCAGCTCATTAGCATTAAAAGTGCCCTCAACAGTATCTTTGGAAAAAGGAGATTGTTTGGCCCCCAAGATGGTGAGATTGTGTAAATAGTTGCCAGGATCAACTCCCTGGGTCTTTGCGCTTTCATAATGAGAGCAAATTGGCTAAAAACTACGGCTGAAAAATGGTCCTAAGTGCCCAAGAAGATTGAGGGTTGCCACTTGAAAAATGGCTGCAATCAGACTTCGGAAAATCTCTTTTCGGGGGGTAATTTTGTTTTGTGGGAAAAATAAAAAGTGTAATTGGTTAACCCACAAAAAAAAAGAAAAAAATTTGAAAGATTAGGGACCAGAAAATAATTTCATTTGTGTTTCAGAAATCTCTGGGATGTTGGAATACATGTTATTCGGCCCTGAACAGTGCTGATTTTACACTGTTTTCAATGGGGCTTGAATTAGTGGACTGTACCCAGATTAGTAACTCAGTTTTCCTCCATGAGAAATTGAGTCCCGTCCTTGTAGCAAGAATTTATTATTCCTTCTTCATTTTAAACCGTTTTATATGACACTAGTTGAGCACCATAGCAACAACAACAAAGACAATAGCAATTGGACAATGACAACTAAACGTCTGAAAGCGTCAGTAACGGCAGATTGCTGTTGGTGGTGAAGTCACGTTTTTCCTTTGGGACTTCGCCATTTAATCCTAAAATCCGAGTAGATCCAACAACCCTGGGGCATAGACTAACAATTATTGATGAACAGAGACAGTGAATCAAGAACAGTGACCATGCCTTTAATGCTTCATCATCATCTGCAATGCCATTCCTGCTCAATCAGGAGTACGTTGTATTGTTCCAATCATTTGAGAATCAAAAACTCATCCGCTTTAAAACCTTATCCTGCACCGCGTCCTTCAGTACTCCGCGTAGAGTACGTGCACATGTATATTGGGATATATACATGTACAATTACACGGGGCATCCCATACAACCCGAATTCCGTAGTTCACAATATTTACACTAAAAACGGGAAAGGGGGGGAAGGTTTCTTTACCACATGTGATCCATATCTTAAAAAAAAGGCACACCAATGAAAAATATTTATTTAAAAGGAATTTTTATTATCAGAAAAATATAGGCCTAGGCCTCAATATTTACATGAAGCTAACACTTTATTTACAAAAATTATAGGCCTAGATACTATCGTCTTAAATCGAACATTACAATAAACAATTTGTCCACTATAGAGTCAAAGTTTTACATATGAATATTTAATTGATTTGTTACTTAATTATCTTTATTACAAGAACTGCTCCTATGTCAATGACAAACAAATTTCTCTTGATGCTTAATTGTTTTATAATTGAGTCTCAGCATTCCTTCTTCCATGGTCTCAGCATGGAGAAATAGTCACAAAGAAATTGAAAGTATACCTCAAAAAGTGCATTTTACACCAAAATGGAACAGGTGCTATGTAATCCCCAATGTTTGCTCCATCTATAATGCTGAAAATGCCGTACTTGGCGACAATTTGATCAGTTTTGAAATCATACGATGATCAATCCAAATTGCTCACTCGCCTTTGTGTGTAACTGTTTTCTGATGAGCTTATCATCACTGACATGGTATAAACTGCATTCAAAAAAGTTATGAAAGATGGATAAAAATGTCCTGAAAACCTTGAAAATCAATTTCAATCTCTTCATTACCAGAGAAACCCCAATAGGCCTAATAGCAGCAAATGTACACTGATTTTGGGAGACAAATTTCGCACTAAAATAGTATCGCTAATCTCACAGAATGGCTGCCATGTTTGAATAACATTCATGACCTTTAACGAATTATTCATGATAAGTTTCTTTGAAAAAGATAAAATTGTACAATGTAGGCCTATTCATATCGCAGTTTGAATGACCTTTTGTAACGGTCGTGCGTGCTGTCCAGCAGTCACAAGAGGGCGCTATATCAGACTCTCTAGGTTCCGCATGCGCACAACCGTATGTCGCGATGATTACAGCGGTGCGGGCCCATAGACAGCGATCATTCCAGACATTTCGAGAAAAGAACTTATTAGATCATTCAAGGGGTAAATAAATCTCGCAATTTCTCCTCATTATGCCATTTCTAGTCTAATCAGTGCAACTTGCGATGGAAACATTGAAAACTTGATTTCTCATTCAACAGCACATTTTCCCAAAGGACGTGGCATGCATGTTTAAATTTTCCCTTTGAAAATGTCGGTAGACCGTTTTCTATCCTCAACTATTTAATTTAAAACAATTGCCCGTTTTCTGGTATATTTTGATTTCATAGAAACTTTTTCTATGCTGGCTTTGCAATAATCTATTTGAAGTGTGGACATTAGTTTTGTATGCCTATATACTAGGCCCTAGTGCTACGTTAGTGTGTACATTTTGAAAAACATAAGCCAGAAATCTGTCGTTCTGTCATCGCTCTTATTCTGTGAGTTTCATTTTGCTAGTTTTGAGGCTGCGTTGGTACAAAAGAACTAAAGTTCTTGCGTTCTAAACCCTGTTTCCTCAGTCTCTCAGGCTTCATTTTTTGATGACTCTAAGCTGGTGTTGTGGCATATTTGGACAAACTAGTCCCCTTTAAAGTTCCACTTATCAGTTTACGATTTTGCCTTTTCTCTGTTGAATTTGACCAAAGTTAATTAATAAGTGCTAGGTGATTTTCACCATTTTTGAAATGTTTCTGCTGTAGAGCTTTAACTAGAAATTACGTATTTAAAAAAATGAATCGAAACCAAAGGTAACGAAGTTTCTTTTTGTAATATTTGACGGTTGTTAACGAACCGTTACGATTTACAGTTTTGTTCACAGGTAAGGTTAGACAATATAGAGTAAATATTCAAATAATCGTATCATTTTGCGCTCAGTGCAGAATGAAGTCCTGTTTCAATAAGTGTCGACAACCTGGCTCACTGGTAACACCAAAACAGCATGTAGTAGTGCAATCCAAATTCAACACATTTTATATAGGTTTTTATCGGTAACTTACGCACTTCTATCATCTAAAATTGTTTAAATGAAAGTTTAATTTCGCTAAAGAGAGGTTACTCGCCCCAAATGTTGATTCGAATTTCGAAGTAATACTACTACTTTCAAAGCATTTTAATTCACACATGCACATACACACACGCACACAAATCTTATTCGTCCTATTTTATCGTTGTTTTCGTTTCGAAATAAGGTATTTTGTGGAGACCCGAAGAATGGGTCTCCACATTGCAAGGAATTTCTAAAGGTGTCTGGGTCTGCACAAGGATTTCACAAAACTGATATTTGCAAATTGCTCAAAAAGGAGAAATCTTTAATGCGTAGGAATCCGTAGCAAATTGAAGTGTTTCATATAAGGGACATTCGGTCGAAATTTCAGTCCTGGAGATTGATTCATGTTGAAATGGGAGTATTTTGAATACATCGTTTCACACGCGACCAAATTAGTACTGGAGAACAAAGCCATGTCTCCACAAGGATACAAATTTCGGAAAGTGAGTTCCCGCCCCGGAAATGGCTTTGAATTGTGCCTCTTCATTTGAATGTTTCGTCAATGGCATAATTGAAGAGTTTTTGAAAGACAAGTTTACCATGGTCATCTTCTGGTCGCAATGATTATTCAACTAACTGCTTTTATCGTGCAAATTTGGTAAGATCGCGTGAAATTCAATGAATGCGATGCATCCTAAAATGCTGCGGTTTAGCGTTTTCTTCTCACTGACGAAAATTAACGACTAAATTGGTGAAATGACAAAAGACGAAAGACGAAAGTGAATGATAAAAGACGAATTTACTTTTCCAATTCAACGCCATTGCCGGAGTGAGACAAAAATTACTATAAAAATGACAAATAATAATGCTTTCTTTCGTGAACTGCAATGAACTGAAAGTGAAATCTAGTGGTGTTATTTAAACAATTGGATTCAACATTTGAGGCGAGGGATCCCTCTTTGACAAAATTAAACTTTCTTTGAAGCAATTTTAATGAAAGAAGTGCAGAATTGGTTGGGAATATCTGTACTCTGTAGAATAACTTCCGGTGTTCCACCAACTGTTACAAGACTGCGTCTTCGCTCAAATTATGCAAGGAAAACATACTACTGTTTGTTCCTATTGTTACATTGAATAATTTCATAATAAAACACACCAATGTCCAAACTATCGTATTGTCATGAACCGGGCACACAACGCTTCTTTAATGAAAAAAAAAGTCAGTGGTGGTATTCAGTAGACAAAATTTTTCCGAGCAAGTGGCGTCGTTCGTCCAGTTAAATTTTAGCCCAAGTTCGGATGCGACAAAAATAATAGCAGTGAAAAGAAAACCGCCCTGTTTGCTTGACGGACTGTCTGCTCCCCTTACTTCATAAATATGATAGGAGTAGAACGAGAGAGATTTGCGCTTTCTGAAGGCATAGTTAAGTCAAGTTGATTTTGTGTGGTGACATTTTAATACCATCCGGATTCCTCTTATTTTTTATTGGACCGAGCGTATGGCTGCCAATAGGGACTAATCGACGCACTCCTGGGCGCAGTTGCAGATAAAATTCACGTCTTGGAACTTGTCCAGGTCATCGCAGCGTGTTGCATTACTGAGTTGACAGAATGCCTGTCCTTGGTCACTGAGTTTGATGTTGAAGGAGCGACATGCAGGCTCCATGATGCAGGCCGAGGTGCAGCTGGGGTTGCTCTCGGTAACAAACTCTCTGATGACGTGATCGAAGAGGCAGGAGTTGAGAAGCTGTCTGTTGGTGTCTGCAGGGAAGCAGTAGAAACTGTTAAGAGCTGGTCGGTACTCACAGGTAGATGGACCGGGGTGATCGACACAAAGGCCTCGACGGACAAACATGGCCACTATCAGCTGGGTGCAGTACCGGTCATTCACGACGCCACCACGTTTGCTGTTGGAGAGTACTACAGCGCAGTCCTGGTAGTCATTAACATTCAATTCGTCAGGCCGCCACTTTAGGTATGGCTCTCCCTTCTCTTGCTCTTCGCACATCCATTTCCCCTTGACGTCCAGGCCATTACAGCCAATCCAGAATTTCTGAAGACCTGCACTTTCGGCCATCTCTCTCATGAGCTCGTTTTCCTGGGGCGACAAGGGAACGGCCATCTCGGCCCCCATCTCCCAGCACGCCCAGCGGGAATCATTCCAACTGGCTGGTGATGGGGTAAAGCGGTAACAAGATTCGCGACCCGAACGCCATCCCAACGGGCACAAGACCGCGGGACAGATTGCCAAAGCCATCACAAACAATGCAACACCAGTCTCAAGCATTCTGACTCACGCGTCCTCTCGTTACAAACACTCAATCAGAATCACCGTGCAGTTCAAGTTCCGGTCTATTATGTAAAACGACACACAAACCCCTGTGAAATGACACCAGAGAAAGAGCACCGAGCTTTTTCTGAAGATCCGGAAAAATGCAGAAAAAATGACGATATAATGAAACTTTAAAAGTAATCCTGAACCTTATTTCCTGGTTCCACTTTAATCCTTGTTCTGTTGTATACCGCTTGTAACTGCAACGCTAAACCACTTTTGTTGTCTGTTGATGAGACTGTGAGTCACTGTAGAAGTATTTTAATAAGTGGTCTTTCAATTTTGGTCCACCAGCGGTCTTGGCACAACGATTTGCTATTAAGGGATTACAGTGTAGAACCGCGGTATTGACGAAGAAAGACGCACCCGATAGCAGCGAAGTGTAAATGGTGCGTTCATTTTCAAGTCATCAGCTCGTTTGAGAATACAAAATTAGAAACGTTTCCGGCTGGTTGATGATTTGATGCAGGTTGATGTGTTCAGTCTATCCTGAGGATAAAAATGGAAAGACTATACCACCATGTGTCATCGCGGAAAAATAAAAATAGACGACGAGGAGGGGAAAAGTGTCATTTTGTACGACTTTTATTTTGCAAGCGAATGTTGCCCCATGGAAGGTGATACCGGCGTTTAACAATACTTGTGCATGGAACCCTGTTCCCCAGTCAGCATTTAATGAAGACACTGAATGGCACTGACGTTTAATTTATGATCCAATGGATCGACTGCCTACCAACCTGACAAAATTACGGATGAAAATTGAGTCAGGGTTTCTGACGGTGTCAAGGGTGCCATTTAGTAAAACGGCTGTTTATAGGCTAAGGAACTATCACTTTTTGGGAATTTTTTTCCAGGGGGTTGAATGTTTTAGAATGGAATTGGCCAACTTACCAAACATTGACAAGAAACAGAAATGAAGGACAAAAAGACAACAATTTCATATTTGTTTGCGAAACTTCAGTGATGCCGGCTTACATGTTGTGCGGCCCTGAACTTTGCTGACTTTTTTCAGTGGGGCTTCAACTGACATTTCCCACTCGTATGAGCCCCGAGCTGAAGCAAAAGAGGGTGCAATTTTCTCAGCAATGGCGGCTCCTTTGGTTGAGAATGAACTTCGCAGGTTCACGAATGACGATGAAATGCATGCGTTGCGTTGCGGCGGAGTCACTATACCGACAAAAGAATGTACCATGTGACTCTCCGTACCTTCAAGTTGGGGCAAGTTCGAGCGACGATTATTTCGACTGACACCCCCGAAATGTGAGTGACACAGTGAAAGATGAGATAAGAAGAAAAACAAGGCCAACAAGGATCACTCGAGTGTTACCGAATTGCGCACGCGCATTGTTAAAAGCAACTGACTACTGGTTGAACTATAGTTCGCGCCCGAACTTGCCCTTGGATGCACTGTGTCGACGTCGTGTGGAAAATTTATGTGTAGTTTAATGTTAATAATGCATTTTGGTGTTTTTATTTATCAAAATAATTTTTTTAAAGACAAGGACTGAGACTCTCATAAAAAATCAGACATGATCATGCAAACTAAAATCATTTATCTTAAGAATATGAGACAATCAGAATGAGTAAATACTAAAATAATGGAAAATAAAAAACATTGGGCAAAACATCCAGTTTGACAACAAAACCAATAAAAATAAAAAAGGAACATGGCTCATCAAGACATCCAAAATAAATCTTATGCCAAATGGAAAAAAAACTGTTAACTAATCAGAGGACAGATCTGAAGTTTGACCTAAAGGCCCAGCACCCTCTAAAATCAAACTGTTCCTGGTATCTTCATCAAACTCGGAAATTTTGGTCAGAAGCTGAATTCCAAAAGGTTCGGATTATATAAGGTGAGAACTTCTCGTCAGATGGATAGGAATCAACATCAACTTCATGGACACAAAGAAGGCAGATGAGGTTATACATAGTATCCAATGTACAGGCTTGGGCCGAATTATTAATTATAATAAAGATTTATATAACGCACTTATCTGGAAAGCAGATCAAGGCGCATTCCATTATTATTACCCCTGCTCATTGGGCTCATAAAACATTCCAAATACCAGCTCAGCTCCCTGGGGACTATACAGCTCGATGCTGCCATTTACGGCGCAAAGTAGCTAAATCAACCACAATGACCATCTCGGCCCTCACAGGGTACCCAATTACTCCTGGGTGGAGAGAGGCAATGAGTGACAAAGTGCCTTGCCCAAGGGCACACAGGGGCACGCGCACCAAGACACCAGGCTGTGATGCATATAAAAACACGGGGCAGTGCCAAAACGTACAATATAGGCCTACTGTATAAAAAAAAAGTCTCAAGAGCACCTTTGCAAACAGTGACCCCGATCTGTCTGAAATGGAGACAAAGGGTCGTCATCGATGACAGGGGGCAATTGCTTCCATGCTCGAAATGTCAACCTTTCAACGGGGAAACAAAAATAAGGCCTCTTCACCAGAGCCCGTGTGTTTATATAATTATCCAATAGATTCCAAGCAGCGACACAGCTGTCGAAAAACTGTTCATTGAGTTACATCTGCCACGATCTACGGGCATTATTAACTTTGAGCTGAGAAAAGCCGAGCCCCCTTCGCAACAGAGGGTCAATGGGGAAGATATATCAACGCTACAGCAATGCAGCCGTGCCCAATTTTTGTTACAGAAGTGCCTGGGATGATGTAATACTTTGTTTCCTGTTTCCCATTTAACCAGTTGGAGAGCCCCTTGACAGAATCCTTTGGGCAATCCAGTGCGAGCTGGTTAAATATTACATCCTGTACGTTTTGTTTCTAATGTTTAAATACATCTTTTGTGAATAGAATGTCTTTGTAAGTGTATCCCGACAAATGAAATAAATGAAATGAAAGAGCGACTTGGAATAATGTCAATTACCACCTCCTTTCTACCTCGCCAGTATCGTTTTAAATCAAGAATCAAATCAAAATTTACTCACCATACGAATCGTATAGCTTTCGTTGTAACAATGGGACTCTTTAATCACATCCAGTTTCCCCAAAACTCCTTTCAATGTTTACAGGCAGTAATTAGCTTTTTACTCAGTCCGTGCCTCTTCAGTGCATCTGAAGTAACTTGGTACCTACGAAAGCTTATGCTTCTTTTTAAATTTCGCCTTTCGAGATGCTGTCCCTTTAGTAAATTAAATGTTCATATTCACTGTTGAAGTTGTAACTGATTACCGACATTTGAGTGGAACAGATCATTTGCCATCAGGGACAGGTGGGAGGGGGCCACGGCCCCTATGGCACCCATCCCCCCAAACCAAAGCAAAATTTATTTTGCTTTCTTCCAAAAGTGTGTTAAAACCCCTATATATGTAGCCTCAACCGTCAGAAAGGTTATAGAAGTATAGAAGTTACATAAAACAGGTTTGTCCCTGATCTTGATCCGCCCGTGTTTGCCATTCATATTGGTTTCCTAAATTTGCCGCGAGGTTCCGAGAACTCGAGTCCGGGATGAAAGCCGTTCATAATGGACTAGAAATCCTCAGACAGCCATCGACCTCCCAGTTCGCGAAAGTGTTGGTTTCCGTTGGCAGCATGATTCGCCTTGACAAGCTACCCCTCCAGCACAATAGTATGGCATGCAAAGTTTACATTTAATCTCGAAATGGAGATACCTATATTTTCCATTTCCGCTTCTAGAAGTTGGGTCGTGTGATTGTTGTTTGAAAACCTATTCTCTTAGGGAGTCGTTTGTTATTCTTTTCCTCTTTTATTAAGTCTAAATGGCAGTATTCGCGCTTGGGGTATTAGACAACCTTGCCTCCAGGGGCTGGGGGATCGCGAAAGGCATGTTCAGAAGCAACATGCATGGCGCGGCAAGATCGTACCCATGGGAACGAGTTTCGGTATTGGACGATTTGAAGTTGAGGCTGCGTAAATGCAAAATGGAGGGACCTCAGGTGAGTACCGTAGATGTACTGATGCGTACAGAAGAAGCACCCGAAGATATCATTGAAACACACAGAGAGCTGGTAGGCCTAATAGGGTCTTTCCAGCTCAGTCGGTCGTCGGCCAATCTTCTGGAAGATGTTTGTCTCCACTGCACTTCGCTGCCCCGCTAGGCCCCCTTCGGCGATTCGGTGCATAAATTCATTCTAATGACCTTAGCGTTCATTAGGCATTCCAAACAGGAAACAAAACAGAGTTTATTAACAACAGAGATGTCTCTATTAACAATGGAGGTATCCATCTAATCTCGGATTAAATGTCACTTTCGCACGCCATACAGCAATCAGATTGGTCATTTTTCATATAAGCGCAGGAACGGTGCGCGCTCATTTCTGCTTACGTTATTCTGCGTGGCACGCCAAAGCCCTGATTGCAAAAAGTGCTGTGTTCTTATCCTAAGATAAAGAAGTGTTCTCTTCGTACTCGATGAGAGTACGTGGTTATCGTCCCTAAAGATCAGTGCTTTTACCGCGAGGGATATGTTGCGTTACACGTTAATGGCAAAAAATCGAGGTCAGCGATTGACCTAACTGTTCATTCCAACCTGCGGGAACCTTCGATTGGGCATCTACAAAAAAGCACTCTGCCACGCAGTAGCAAGAAACAAAATGGAGGATTAAGAAAAAAAAAGTTGAAGAAGAAATCCATTTACAACCCCAGCCCTCAAGTGTTTATCTGGTTCTTCTGTTTCCGGCAGTTTCCTTGGCAACTAACTCTGCTCGACACGTCAAATAGCAGACACGAAGACCTACTTTGACTGACAAAAAACGAAACCTGTAATAGCCAACGTGCTTGACGTACTTGAACGTGTTATGCAGGTCTTACCCGGTTGCCAGCGTACGTGTTCAAAATGTGTGCGTTAGCGCCTGTTTCTCTCTCGGATACTCCGGCGTGCAGGAATATTTCACGTGCGCATTATTACTCGTTTACCTTTCTGACGTTTCGAAATAACCACTTCATGCAAGAGTATGTACCCCCGGTATAATCGACGGTATGCCCTCGCCTAACCCGCGAGCCGTAGTCCTGCCGTTCGTTCGCTGAGGAACAGTAACGTACACGCTCGAACTATGCTCGAAAGCAGTCAAGGATTCCATGAATTTGTAAAATACAATCATTAATTTTATTGTGCTTCCTCTCCGTGACCGCTTTTTGCTTGTCCTCAAAGACGCGACGGAACCTGTTGTATGGAACCGTACATGATTACATTGTAGAGGTATAATGAGGAAATCAGCGCGGACGGTGTGCAGTCAGTGCTGATCCGGGGAGCCATCACAGGCAATTTCAAAGGCCGATCTTTTGCTCTGTATCACTTCAAAAGCTTTACAAAGTCCAAAATATGTAACCTCAACCCGCAGAAAGACCATAGGAAGGTTACAAAAACTTTCCACAATTTTTGAGCTGCCTACAGATTTTTTGCCCCTGACAATTCGGTCGGGGACCCTCATTGTCTACAGTTGGCTTTCCTTCGCAACTTGCCGTATGCAGTCTGTCAGGGCCATCGGACAGAAAAATCCGACGGAAAAGTTAATATGATCAGTGCATATTAGATATTGATGAAGAGGCCGTCCACATCTGCGATTCATTTTGGCTTGACCAGTTGCCACACAGTAATTCAATTAGCCGGGTAGATTGTCGAAGTATAGGTACCGTGCAATCCAAACACATCTACATGAGGAGTCCCGCACGTGCGCAGCTGAGTGGCGCTGACGCGCAAACAATATTGATCAGGCGGTGGTAATGAAAATAGATGCGTTACCCCAGCGTGCAGGTGAAGACACAACGCAACACCTCCCGTGTTGTTGTGTTTTGAAGGCGAGCAGTACCGCGACGAAAGCCAGCCGGATCATCGGGCAAACTCCGGATTCACACCCACCCACCAAAGACACTTTTGTGTCCCGAGGCAGTCGGACGAAGCTTCCCTGTCGAAAGCCGAATGCGTGCATAATGGGTCTCCCAAGTTGTGGGCGAAAATGTAATAAATCAAGAAATGAGGATGAGGGATGCGTTGTACAATCTACACATTAAAAAAGGAGACAAATCCAAACTTCTAGTATAAAATCAACCCCAACCATTTTCACCCAATGAGAAGTGAAACGAGGGACTTCATTGCTATATTAAGCTTTTAGTCCAAAGCTATTTTATGCTAGTTTCCTGTTCATAGTCAAGTTACGAATAAACTGGATATTATAAATCATTTCATTTTGAATACGCGAAAATATCTTGCGATTACGTCATAATTATTGAAACATCAGCTTAACGCTCATTTAGCAATCAACACTAAACGACCCAAAACAACCGTATTCCCCTGTATATGAAGATTTTGAAGACCAACATTACAAGTAAAATACCGCGGACTTACAATGGAAATTACCCAAATTATAATGATACATTGTCTAAGTCACTAGATTACAAAAAGCAGTCTCCTATATCATGTTGTCTCTTTCAGCTTCATTATTACACTAGCTCCGACCAACTGCTTCTTAAGAAAACGCCCAATCAATTATTTCTCGATGTAATGTTTTGTTCGCGTATATAACATGCTTGCAAACTTAAGTTGTATATCTATTCTCTACAAGGTGCATGTGCAGACTAAACGTCTTCGACGCGATCGGTAGTTCTCGTTTCGTGAAAAGGGAATACATGAACACCAATGAGTGCAATTTTGAAATACTATGGTGCTCAGTAGGCCTAAATGTTTTACTTCGGAAAGTCTCAAGTAAACACTAAAATGCAAGCTCTCGCTCAAAGAAATTAGTTTCCCTATCTTTTCTTTAAAATTTTGGACAATACAGGAGAACTTGCTACCTCAATTGTGTGAATGGTCGCAATCAGCAACATGCGACCATTTTTGCGTCCCAAAGGGCACTCGTTATGAAACCGGGCAAATCCCGTGGTAATTGCAGATGTGCCTCAGAAAATGAGCTGGAGATTTAGAGACTTGTCGGAAGAAGCCTCACTAGAAAATGCAACGACTCGTCGCCGTAATTTTCAACGACTTGTAAGGATGAGTTCACTTTCGCTGATTGCGTCTTAGTGTGTTCATTTACGTCTACCGTCGTCGTTTGGCTCATTATCCGCACGATATTGCGACTGAGAGTATCGCAAATCTCACTGCCACTTCATTCCCCACTTCAATTAGTCGATCACTGGAAGTGATCATTTCCAACAGGCTTATTATGACTGAACTGAAATTTTTTGCACGACCGACACATTTGAATATATAAGGTCATGCTTTTATGTGGTGGGTTTATTATGAGATCACCGCACATAGGGTGAAGGTACAGGAACTCCTTGGTTTATTTTGGCTTGATGTACTGCTGGTTCCACTCTCGGTTGATGTATTGTTATTGGTTGTTATCTATTATTGTTTATATTGATGACTGTGTTCATAAGTTTGAAAGTATTCCCTTATTCTCGGTCGAATTGTCTAAAGAGCTCCCATTGCAATCGAGCTTTCTACTACATTTCTGAATTCTGAGGACACCGTTTGATTCACCATAATATTGGGTCCCACATCAGTTTCCACATTTCAACCATCATCCGAATGTCTCATCGGTGGCGTAGGTCCTAAATCTGGGAATGGGGTGGGGATGACTTGAAAATTGCCCGGCCGTGGAAATTAAAAAAAAGAAAAAAAAAACAAAACGGAGGAGGAGATTGCTGAACCTCATACGACTCTAGAGGGCGCTTTAGTGATTTTGTACTCCCTTTTCAGTAGACCTACAACTGGATGTATTTTGGCTGTGCCGAAATACGAAAAATACCTCAATATCTGCCCATAGTTCTTACTAAGAAAATGTACCGGTATGTGTGTGGGTGTATGTACCTGGAGGTGTTCAGTAGCCCATCCCCTCACCGCTCCAGGGTTTATGTCCCTGTGTCTCATTCTCTTTCTTCATGGAACACAATTATTGTATGTACCTTCTCTCCTCAAATGCAAATTTATATTCCAGAGGAGCTGAGCCAAAATCAGATTTTAAATTCAACTAACTAAGATTAGTGTAGCAATCGGCCATAAGAGAATACAGGGGATCCCCCTCTTTTTGGAGGGGGGTCTTAAATAAAACGTGCTCTTTTAAACATTTCATTTCTACCACTTAGCTAACTTGACGTTACAAATTTTCATAAGTCTGGGACTGACTGATGATCGCTCGCCAGTACAGATTCGACTCCAGGCTTATACACGTATCCAACTACACTGCACATGTGCATCCATTTCTGCGCACGCTAAGTGTGTACCTAGCCTGCGTGTACAGGAATTAACGGCCCGGCGTGATCCAATGAACAGACTCGAGCGTGCATTACACAATGGCTGCAGTACAAAAGGTTATTGATATCATGCCGGTATAATGCGTAATCAGTGGTCAATGTACCCAAGGCTGATACAGCAGTTTGCCGTTGCCATAAATAGCACAAGATAAACGGCGTCGGCGATGCTCCATGATAATGTACCCAACATGGCATACTCTGTCACCATTTTAGGTCTGCTGGATTTGCGGACGGTTCTCGTGGCCTGTGTCGTCTTTCTGACTCTGTCATGGTTGATCCGGAGACCACGTAACCTCCCCCCGGGTCCCTGGGGATGGCCGCTCATCGGCAGCCTCCCCACCCTGGCCATGGCGCCCGGGGATCCCCACGAGATCTTCCAGCGTATGGCCCAGAGGTACGGGCCTGTCTTCACTCTGAATATCCTGGGCCAGAGGCTTGTCCTGGTGCATGGCTATGAGGCCATACGGGAAGCGTTCCAGCACCCAAGCCTTAGCGACAGACCTGAGCTGCACTTAGTTACACAAATGTTGAACGGCTCCGAAGGTAAGACAGACCATGGTTTAGACACAATGGCAGGACAGTAGACCGATTGCGTCCGCTTAGTCACGTGATCTATAGTGGGTGTTAGATGTCTACAACCACGGCGTCCACCAAAAGTTAAGTGTTTCATAAGTACATGTATCATTTACCAATAAAGCCATGGGTACCTTTAATACTCAGACTACTGATGTGCTGGTTAATATACCGTAACTTGGCTGTATTGTTTGTAAACAGCGCTCAAAACACACGTTGATATGGGGTTGATACCCACAATAGGTCACGTAATATAGCGGGCGCTATCAGTCTATTCTTTCCAGTTTCCTGGACCATAGCAACAGACACATACATGTAGATAGATTGACCAAATGGACAACATAAATCGATTGGTCAGTTCACTGAAGTACATAGGGGCCTATATGTGCCGGTAAAGTCGTCTCCAACTAGAAAACCATGCTCCGGTGTTCAGTAGGCCTTGATGAATACTTTGCTGGGTTGATATCCATAAGCATGTCTGGTTCCAAGAGATGTCATTATACATCGAATACATCGTCACACAGTTGTCCACCAGTATAGCACATTTGCACCTCATCATCTCGAAACGCTTGAATAGAGTATCTGCTGAGACCATCAAGAAACGCAGTGCGTTGCAAATCTGTCGGATCGTTCCATGTTATGAAAACAGGCAATTCAAATTCTATGAACAGTCAGGTTTTGAGATTCTGTATATTATTTAATGTACTTCATTTGAATAATCATTTTAGGAATTGCCGCTGCATCAGGTGAAATCTGGAAAGAGCAGCGCAAACTAGCACTGAACGTCTTCAAAAACTTTGGCGTGGGCAAATCGAGCTTCGAGGATCAGATAGCCACCGAGGCAGAGCACATGATGAACGAGATGCACAAACTGGAAGGGAAAGCCTTCAACCCGGATAAGCTCTTCATGACAGCCGTGTCTGACATCATCGCCGTCGTGGTGTTCGGGAAGCGGTTCGAGTACGATGACCCAGAGTTTCAGCGCATTCTGGCCTCCATTCACCGCAACTTGGAGCTCATCGGCGCTGGAGCAGCCATGCAGTTCCTTCCCATCACCAAGTACCTGGGTTTCCTCCCGAGCATGCAAGAGATGCGGAAGAACATCCAACTGGTAGTCAACTTCACCAAGAACATCATCGACAGGCACTTAAAGGAGTTTGATTCGGACGATAAACGGGACTTCATGGACATGTACATCAGCGAAATGAAGGAGAGGGAGAAGCAGAACACCAACACAGTCCTGAGTGTAGACAATCTGATCAGTGTCATCAACGATCTCTTCGTGGCGGGGACCGAGACTACGGCCACCACCCTCCGATGGGGTCTGCTGTATATGATCCTCCATCCTGACGTCCAGGAGCGTGTCCAGCGAGAGATTGATGCCGTGGTGGGCCGCAACCGCCTGCCCAGAATGTCCCACCGGTCAGAGCTGCCCTACACGGAGGCTGTTCTGCTGGAACTCCAGCGAATCGGTAACATCGTCCCCCTTGGTGTCCCGCACAGGGCGTCGGAAAACACCACCTTCCAGGGATACACAATTCCCAAGGACACGTTCATCGTTGCTAATCATTGGGCCCTCCATCGCGATCCGAAACTCTTCCCAGAGCCGGAAAAGTTCAGTCCTGAGCGGTTCCTGAATGCTGATGGAGAGGCAGTGAAACCAGAGGAGCTGATTCCTTTTAGCACGGGTAAGTTACCACTTAAAAAACAACACTGGCTTATTGTAAAATGGAGGTTTACAGGTCCTACCTTTTCTGAGCATTCTTACTCCTGATGTCTCTACGACCCTTTGATCTCTCTTCAGGACGTCGTGTATGTCTGGGTGAGCAACTAGCAAAGATGGAGCTCTTTATATTTTTCACCTATCTCTTGCACCAGTTCACCTTTAAAAAGCCTCAAGGATCCCCGCCGATCAACCTCAAGGGGCACCTTGGTATCACCTTAGCGCCTGTACCTTTTGAAGTGTGTGCCATTCCTCGTTAAATAACCTTCTGGAGCAAAACTTGCATTTTTGCTGTTGGAGGAAGTAGAAAAGAAATTCGAAACTGAGAAAATATGCAAGCTGCAGTGAACAACGAGATTTCCCGAGAATACGAGACTTCGCACCTTCATTTTCATTTTTACATACTTTTTAATAAACGAAGCGTGTAAATTGCAAATGTGCGATTTTGTGTGAGAGAAAAATTTCAAGGTGTTGACTACCGGAGACAATGCTTACTGGATGATTGCTTTCAAATTGTGTGTGAGAATCTAGAGTTTGAATTTTACAAAGATATCTATCTGATCAACTGTCCTTCAAGCCACGTTTCAAACAAGTAGTAAAGACTGTAATGTTTATGCCGTAAAATCACTCCAAAGTTACCCACCCCTGCCTTATCAATAAAGTTTTATTTTTCCTCGCAAGGAATTTGACGGCTTATATTGAAAAAAAATCGCTTCAGTGAACAAGACCAAGATCTACAATAAATCAAACGCAAAATCAACATTTTAAAGTATCTTTGCAGAGATTTGTCTCAAGAAGACACAGAAAATACATTAATTTTCAACGACTTGTAAGGATGGGTTCACTTTCTCTGATTGCTTATGTGTTAAGTTACGTCTACCTTCGTCGTTTGGCTTGTTTTCCGCACGATATTGCGACTTGGAGTACCGCATGTCTCATTGCCACTTAATTTCCCACTTAGTCCATCACTGGAGGTGATTATTTTAGTTTGAACAGGCTTATGTGACAAACAAAATTTTTGAACGAAAACATGAGTATGAGCCTCAAGCTGGACTAAGAGGGCACCATCTAATTAGCAACGGAGGTTCCTTTGGTAGGAACTGAACTTCACTGATTCACGAACGACTAGGAAATGCACGCGTTATGGTCGCATAGCAACTAACAAAATACTCCCAACCAATGTGATCTTTTCAACCGATGAGGGAGTGCTTCTGCTCCAGGTGGATAGGGCATACCTTTACGTTCCAGGTTCCTTATTAGATCACCGCATAAAGAAGGAAGGTACAGCAATTCCTTGGTCTGACTTGATTTACTGCTGCAGCACCCTCAGTTCATATAATTATTATTGGTCATTAAACCACTATTGTGACGTCACCCTATTCAGTAAAGTGTCAATTGTTTTTAAGAATATACAGTTAACTCTACATTTTTAAAAAATAATGTACAGTTTTAAGAATGTAGAGTGTGGACATTCTTCAAAAGCGACTTGATACACAAAAAAGCCCTTTTGACTTTAAATTACAGCGTCAAACACCGTAAGAAATGCTCTCAACAATAAAGCAGATTGTTTTAGACGTTCAGTACGGTTAACACTCATTTTTTTGGATTTGACGTGGTAACGTTTTCTGTTGAGATTAGCGATTTTCAATTAAAGCGAACCGCTCCTTACCTTGCACAATATAATGTTTTTATTAGGAAGGATTTCCTTTGGACATTCCTTTGGATTTCCTTTGGACACTGGCTGATTTCAAAGAGTAAGCATCTACTCCCAAGGTTGTAAACGTAATCTTCATTTGAAGAGACAGTAAACTGTAGTTCTCAAATCAGTCACTCGGGAAACCTGCTTGTTGATGGTGTAAAAGGTCCCCAGCTCCGTACAGTTAGCATTTGCTAACTTACATTTAGCGTATTTCTGCAACGAACATATAGATATAAATCCATATGGACCGTGCCAAACACTGATGGTGTCGACTGCATGTCTGCGTTTAACTTCGTGTAAAGCATGTACTGTGCCTGTGAACAAAAAACAGTTGTGCACCCAGCCGAGGAGTTACTCAATTGGGGCAGGAATGAAGCTTTTATGTACATGCAAATGTACATAGCTAACCAACGCTGGACAAATGATGGATTCATCTCAAAGCAATAGAAAGCCTTTTTGTTCTTTTGTACAATGTGAACAATAGTGGAGGGAGGGACATAGTTTAAGTCGGAGAAACGACGTTTCTACTTAACTGATCATACGCAGCAAGGTATGAGACGGAGAGAACCCCCCCTGCTTTG